GCACCAGCAAGGTGAGCCAGCAGATCAGTGTTAAAAGGTATGTACTTCCACCATGCCTGGTGTTCTGCTCTGTCTTTAACTTGATTTCAGCTTTCCAAATCTCGAATAAAATTTTCTTGAGGTCAATTCTAACCTGGAACCATATAGGAAGGTAATCCTGATCCCAGCTTAGATAAGTGGACACAGTACAAAGCCACTGCAAGCACACACACCTAGTATAGTAAATCTCTGTACCTCTGGCAGGGAAGAGCCTGACCATGAGCTCTGTCTCCTTGGAACTCAGCACAGCAGCTCTCGACAGATGTTCATTGACTCAACAGAACTCTCTTTCCACCCCTCACTCAAACAAATGCTCAGGGTAAGTTCTGGGAATTTGGGAAATAGCCCAGTGTTTTCCTAAAGAGTGCCATTTACATAAAAGTCAATGGAGCTATTGTTGGAAGTTTTCTGGTTTTCTGGAGGCCACGGAGCCTAAACAGTCCTGGGGTTTGAAAGGAGCCAGCACTCTGAGACTGCTTGCTGGATGGCGTGCAAGCCTGCCTGCATCCCTCTCCCTCTCCCTCTCCCTTTTCCCCTCCACCCCCCCACACACGCACGCACACACACGCACACACACGCACACACATAGACTCTAAATGGATTAAAACCTCAAGAGGTTAAAAAACACAGCATCCAATATGCAAATATGCCTGCAGCCAGGATTGCAGAGGTAAGAACGCCAGGCTGACAGCAGGCAATTCACACTTCAGGAAAGTGGCGGAAGTGCCTTAGGTGGTTATAAAAAACCTCAACAACAATAATGACAGAAAACCCTCAATGTCATCAGAAGGTTCCAGAAGCTTAGGAAAAGTGCTCTTGTCTTTATATACACAATTCCTTCACAGCCTAGGAGGTTTAGGATTTAGGTGCCAAAAAATAATTCACAGATAAGTAGCTATACTGATGTGTTGTATTCTAATATTTTCATCAAATCAGAGTGCTATTGCAAGCATAGCTCAACCCCAAAAGCCCTCAAATATACCTTTAAATACAGAAAGAGCTCCCCAAATCCTCCCCCAACTTGTACCTCGTTGTCAAAAATCCCTTTAGCAAAAACAGTGTTTCTTGCCACCATCTTATCAATTAAGCATTGACACTATGCCAGGTACACTGTGCCATGTATCTTTTTAAATGCTCAAGAAAACTCTTTGTGATAAGTATTATTATCTTCATTTTAAGATGAGGAAATTGAGATTCAAAAAGATTAAAATACTTGCCCAAAGGTATAGTTGGTCTGTGAATGGCGAGATTTGAATCCAAGTAAGCCCAACATCAAAGACTATACTCTTTTCCGTTATTCAGCTCTCCTTACCATGATATAGCAGGGCTTGCAGCACAAGTGGCCCTGAGAGAGAGATGTACAAATGATGTAAAAAATTACTTTCAGTTTCCAAATTTCCAGTCTTTGATCTATTACTCATATGGAGAATTTTAAAGATCTCTGGCTAGAATCCTTTCCACAGAACAAGTTTTAGTTGGAGTGTGGTGTAGATGAAGAACCTGGTACCCAAAGACAACACTGGAGAGGTAAAGTGTAGCCTTAGGCCCCTAAACTTTGCCTTTGCCTCTCTGATAAGGATTTCTATGCCTCCTCTGCTTATTTTACCTAGGAAATAGGAACCTAAAACCCATGTTTGAAACTATACCTAGTAGCCTGGGGGGTTCCCAAGTACCAAGTGCTGGGAACAGCCTTCATGCTAGCCTTGGACAAGCGCATAAGCACCTAACTTAGGGTGCTGGTGTCCAGGAAATTTGCCCAGGCTACTCCACTGTAAGGAGGGCCAACTCCGCCAGCCCATTCTTTCCTTTACTTCCCACATCATAATGATCTTTTCTTAATCTCTAACGCCCTTCTTCCCTTTCAAAGGAGTGGACAGAAATGGGCTGCCCATCCATGAATAAAGGCCTTTCTCACAACAACAACAAAAACAGAAAGAAAAGGAAAAAAAGCCCCAATGACTAAATTGAGACAAAGAAAATGTTCCCTCAACTGTACCATTCCCTGGACATCTGCCATTTTCTTTTCTCACAGAGACCAAGCTGCTGAGTCATCTTGCTATCTTTGCTATTTGGCTGAGGAAGGAAACAGGAGATTTCACCTGTAATAACATGAATATCAGCTTCTAGGATGAGGCCAAAGTCAGACAAGTTGGGACAAAAATCATTCCTAGTGAAGGGGATCTGTAGAGTGGCCTATTAGTGCCATCTACTGTACAATTCTGGAAAGCAAACATGGAGAATTCTAAAATTAAGAGACTGAAGGGATTCATTTACTCATCTTAAATTTGTTGAGTGTGTCCCATGTGACAGGCAGTGTGACAGGACTGAAGAGTAGATATGAAGCTGAATACTACAAAACCCCTGCTTTCTAGAGGTTCAAAGCTAGTGAAAGTGGAAGATATTTAAACAGACAAGTTACCAGAGTGTTTGTGCATCATAGGGGTATGTATAAGATAGAAAGGTAGCAAAGAAAAAAGAGCGATTGTCTTTAGGTCAAAGGGGTTCCCCATAAGGATTTTGAAGGATGGCTAGAAGTTGACTAGCAGAATAAAGGTGGATGCAAGCGGCACTTCAGGCAAAGGAGGAGTGTGGGCAAAGACCCTCAAGCAGAAGATGACAGTTCATTACTAAATAGTTTAGTTTATATTCTGTAGGCAATAAGGAGCCTTTGACTGGTTTTAGGCAGGGCTGTATTATGATCAGATCGACATTTTACAAAGACATTCTGGAAGCAAAATAGGTGCAGAGTGAATGTGAACAGGGGTCTCCAACCTCTGGGCCACGGACTGGCACTGGCCTGTGACCTGTTAGGAGCCACATAGCAGGAGGTGAGCGGCAGGCTAGTGAGCAAAGCTTCATCTATATTTGCAGTTGCTAGTAATACCACCTCAGCTTCGCCTCAGATCATCAGGCATTAGATTCTCATAGAAGCACCAGTCCCTGGTGCCAAAAAGGTTGGGGACCACTGAATTAGAAGGAAAGACTGGAGGTGAGGAAACCAAACAGTTACAAGACTATTGCCAACAGTCCAGATGACAATGAGAAAGGAGAGGAAGGGATGCATTTGAGAGATATCTCGAAGAGAAAATCAACACTATGTTTCATTGTCCAAGGGAGAGAAAGAGAAAGGTGTTTGGCTTGGGTGACTAGGTAGAAGAGAAGTAGGTGAAATAGAAAGTACTATATAATCTAATGATTTGTTTGGGACAAGCTGAACTTGAAGTGTTATAGATTAACCACAAGGTAAATGGTCATATGCGTCTAGAGTTCAGTGATCATCTGATCCCCATCTCTTCATTTCCCAAGGTGGATATTTCCATTAGAGAAAAATTTTGTTGTCACTGTAGGTACCTCTGCAGCCCACCTCCCTCTATTTGGGTAAGTCTGCCCATGCACCTGGTGGTCCAAGCATTTTCATCTTCTTTCAGTCAGAAACAGTATGGCATAACACAGAAAAGCATGGTGAGCTTTGCAGTGAGAAAGACATAGCTAGCTCCCTAATTTAACAGTTGTTACTTTGAGCATAAATAGTTGTCTAAGCTTCATTTTCCTCATTTATAAAATGAGGATAACTCCTACTTTTCATAGTTGTGGCATTTAAAACAATGTATACAGTGGTCTGACATATCAGAAGTACTGAATATATGAGTCGCTCTTATCCCTTATAATAAAAGTTAATCAGAGAGCTTATTTATGTTGTTTTAATAGCATGTTTTAGCATTTATTTATAGCTGAATCAAGAATATTTTTTCATATTTTCTGCAAAAGTGCTGGCAAATACACTGTTCATCACACCATGTATATTCCTTATGTATAAGGTCCCATAAGATAAAGTCCTTTTAATATAGGTACTAGGAAGAAATTTCACTCTTGTGAAGAATGGATTGTTTAATTATTAGTTCTTTAACTGACAAGTTTTTTAGCTAAAGTGGGTACTCAATTACAGTAAGTCTACTGACCTGTTGGCTAGTATATTTGCTTGTTTCTAATATGAAGTTAATAGCTACCATTTTTTGAGGAGTTACTACTTGCCAGGCATTGTGCCAAGTGTTTGACCTTCGTTATTTCATTTTCACAACCCTCTGAGACATTACCACCATTTTTCACAAGAGGCAAAAGGAAACTGGTTCAGAGATGTCTAAGTAGTAACTCAAAAACAGGTATACCTGACTCCCAACATCATTGTTCTTAGCCTCAACTTTATTTTAGCATTTTACATTTAGCTATTTGATTGCATTTAACTTACTTATATATTTTAAATACAATAACAAATACACAGGGCCCAAACCAGGCCAGAACAAAGAAAAAGTTGTTTTAGGTGGTGGGACTCTTGTGTGACTTTCTTTACTTCTATAATTGCCACGATATTATTCATTCGATACACGAAGCAGTTAGAAAATATAAAATCTCTTTTGGAAAGTAAGCAGATTTTAACAACAGGTGAAAACTGAGGCGCAGGAAGGGGAAGTTATGGCGCTCGGACCGCTGGGTCCTAAACCCGGGAACTAAGGGATTCCGAAGATCCACTCCATTACCACTCGCACGGGGGCAAGCAAGGCTCAACAGGCACTGAACTCTCCCTTCTCTCGGTGCACATGGGAAAATCGACATCCTGCGAGCCGAGGATGGCTTGCCACGCCTCGCTGACAGGTAGGCGGAGGGCGCTCCCACCTTTGACCCTGCAGCGACGCGAGATTAGTCAGCTGCAGACTCTCATCGCTCAGAGGCTCAGCTCCTAGGCAGAGAACCACCAGGTGGCCTACCGTAAGGTTACTCACCTGAACCAGAGGTAGGCAAGAGGCGGCCCTTTGACGGAGATAGAGTATGTTGACCAAACCGGAGAGCGCGATTGCGCTTTGGGTGACCAATAGTATGAAGGAGAAGGATCCTCGACCTGCCTCAAAGGTGCCACTCTCTCACTTAGAACATCGCGAGATCTTCACTCAAGCCGAACGATTGGTTGAAAGATGGAAATTGAGAGTTGCGCCTACTGTCTCCTCGGATCCCTGATTAGTCTTCTAGAGGAGAAGGCGGCCAACGTCAACGAGTTCCCTGGTTGCTCATTGGGGGACAATGCGGAACTACCCGCGCGCGGGCGTTCGAAACGGCGCTTGGCGGCGTTGCCATGGGGATGCGGCCTGGCTGCAGGCTCAAGTTCGTGAGTTGACTGAACACCTCCGCCGCCGTCCTTGGAGCTTTCTCCTGTCGGCGTCGTCTAGTCCTGTCCTTAGACAGGGTTGACCGTGGAGGAATTTGGAAACCTCCGAGGTGAGAAGGGGTCGGGGAGAACCGGGGCGGGTTAGGCCTGGTCGAGAGCCTTGGCTCCTGCCGCGTGTAAGAGGGTGCGCAGGACGCCCGCCCAGCGCGTGAGGAGGCAGGCGGTTGTGTGGGGACCGGGAGTTGGCCTCTCCCGGTTGTGCAAACGCTCACCCAGTCTTCTAGTCTTCATCTCTATGTCTCTGCCTTTTGTTCAGCGATTGTCTTGAACGACACTTCTCCCATGAAGCATTTTGTGAGTCTCGAAGTCTTCCTGCCTTTTAACCTCTCTTGAGTACTTCTGTTCCGTCTTGATTAATTTGTGTACTAAGGCGGGTCCCATTCTCCTCCTTTCTCCCATACAATTTTGAGGTCTTTGAGTCAAGACAAGCATCTTTCACAGTGTCTTACACAAAGAGGCATATCTCGGTATTGCGGGTTTGGTTCCAGATCACCATAATAGGAGTATCGCAATAAAACGAGCAACAGTATTTTTGTTGGTGAAGGGTGTTGCCTTCAGTTTGTAAGCAACCTCAACATCAAGCAATAAAACAAGGTATGCCTGTTGTAGATTTTTCAGGAAATGAGTTGAATTTAATTCACCACAGATAGATTGGATTCCCCTCTATGCCTGTCCAGTTTTCCCTCCCATACACAGATTATTATTTGTTTTTATGGGACTAGGGGGCGGAAACCCTAATCTCATATGCAAAAGGATCTGAAAATTTGCTGTTGGCCTTTCCACTCAGCGAAAGGGAAAGTTTCCCTTTGTGAAAGGGAATACTGGCTACCACTCTTCAAATAATTTTCTCCTTTGCATTTGTATTCTGCTTGTAGTCTATTTCAGCGCATATAATAGCTATTCTGGTAGCCTATCCATTTATCAGGTGTCCATGACACAACTGCATTACCAATACTATTATATCATTGCTAACTCAAGACAATATAACCCGATCTGCATTGTTGATGATTTTTATATCAAAATCATAGCTCAGTGAAGACTTTAGTAAAAGGACTAAAGAAGTCAGGTATAGCAGGTATGTTCTCATTACTGTCTTATAAAAGTTTGAACACTACCTTATAGCTAAACTGCGGATCTGTGACATGTAATGGAAACCGGACTGGGGATTCAGGGTTTGTTCTTGGCTCTGTCTCTAGCTCATTCATTGTGGCTGACTTTGCAAGTCATTTAGCCCCTTTAAACCTCACTTTTTCCATCTGGAAAATCAAATGGTTGAATTAGAATTCCTGTGGCTCTACTATCAACTTAATGAAGTAGTTGATGTCAGGTAGACATCACGCACTCAGCCTTCTAAAGATCATACAGGTGAAAGTAATGGCTACCATTTATTGAGCATTTACCCTGTGCAAAGCACTATATCAAAGGCTTTATATAAATATTACATTATTCTTAGTGTAGTACATTAATGTACTGCCCACAAAGCATTTCATTAAAAACTTTTGGTTTATGTTGTTATTGAAAATCTTTAGATATTCATAGTATGTCCTTGGGGGAAACTAGGGTATGATCTTTTCATGTTCCAGTTTAGGTAGCAATTTCAGCAGAAACAGCAGTTTCTTTCTCTGGGCTACAGTTTTGTTTATAAAGTGAGGTGTTGAACTCTTCTCAGATTCCTTACAGATTAATTGATCTATTAATCCAATTTCCTATGCTGACTCAGCAAACCTGTTCATAATTTGTGCAGAGTAGATCCTCAACAAATTTTGTTAAATGAATGAGTTCTGCTTTTTATACTTTGAGTGCTGTGGTCATTGTATACTTCCTGAGTTATTGTCTCAAGGATTTTGATGTTTATATTTTATTAAATAAGACTTTTCCATAGGCATAGACTAATATTAGGTACCATTTTGTATTGGAAAAACTGTTTTGTGCCTGTGTATCTTTTTTCCTGT